TCACCCCCCCCCCCCCTTTTAGATTTACCTCCCCTCTCGAATTTCTTTGCTTTCATTTTATTTTATTAATATGGACTGAATATCAGTCTGCATAGAGATGGATACACCCACACTACACATTGTCACACAAACTAAACTGAATAATCCCTTTGTCTATTTTGTTAATGTCTGTTGTCTCATCTTCTATGTTATGTCCTTTGACCTGTGAATGTGTTATTATTCATGTTGCAATAACATAAATAAATAAATAAACATTTTTGGGGCTCCTCTGAGCCATATTTCAGCAGTTGTTATTTTTGGCTTAACAGCTACTCTGACAGAGCGCCTGGTATTGTAGGCGGGCACCATGCCATTTAACCACAACTTCCTTAGTTTGATTCCGACCACAAAACCAAAATGCAAATAAACATCAGAACAGCTTCAACTGGCTGAATATCTGAGCACTGGCTGTGGTGCAGGATGCATTAGTAATATTTGTCTTGTGTTTTTAGTAACAGTTGTCATAGTTTTACTAGTTTACTATAAATATGAAACATCATTTGAATTTTGCAATTTATAGAATAAGAGTGATGAAGGGTACCTCCCACAGTGCAGGCACAGCCACTGCTGCATCTAAAACCTTCTGGAGGTGGCTGATCTGTGGGTAGAGAGAGCACATACATACAGTTTCATTTCAAAACACATGACCAAGCTATCTTTCTATAATGTATTTTGGGTGCTGAGCAGTCTACCACACTTATCACATTTGAATAAGAGGAAGTTTCTGGTGCATGTCCACTCACCAAGTTGAAGCCCAGCAGATTCTGAAGCAGGCTGTTCCACAGCTGAGGGTCGTACACCTGGTACTCCAAGCACAGGTCTGCCACCAACCGCACTGCCTGCAACAGAAATGCACATTTCAGTTTGTGTGCTGTCTGTAGCTTTTCTAGTGAAGCTAAAATGAAGTAACAAGCTAGAAGAGTTTGAATGTTTTTAGTCAGAAAGTACCTGTGGCTCATGGCTGTGGTTCTTCCACAGCCCTTTAACCAAGCCCTCTTTGGGACTATTAAGGAAAGACTGCACCGTATAGGGGATATTCAGCGCCTCCAGTTGAGAGACAAAGATGTAGCACTTCAGGTAATATCTGCAATACAGAAACATTGAGGATTAGAAAGCTTCCTGGATTAGATTCAGTCCATACTGTTACTGTTCAACTGGTTTCATGGCCTTTTACTGGATTTTGGCTCTGGGGATCTGCAACCGAGCCTCGAGAGTGGCCGCATCAGCAAGGCGAACTAGACAGAGCAGAGCTCGAGTTCGATGGCAGAAGGTCAGACGAGGTCCAGAAGTGCTGAGGGGCTGCAGGAGGAAATCCAAAAAAAAAAAAACCAGACACACATTGGCCACTTTGTCTGGACACCTTGTCCAATTCTGACTCGCTGCAATTCATTACTCACCCAGGTTTCAGCAGACAAAACTGGGCTTAGAAGACGAACAGCGTCATCCATGGGGCAGGCCTGGAGCATGTACACCACCCTGAGTCCATCAAAGAAACACAATAAACCCACACATTTTGGGGTTGGAAGTCCTTGTCCAGTCATTGTGGATGTAGCAACATGCAAAAGTGACAGTGATGTCTCTACCTCATTAAGTCTGGGTCCCCCTCAATGTTGCTGACACATTCATGATTACCAATATCCTTTTTTTGAGAAAAAATGCTTCATTAAAACGTCTACACACATGGACTTGTTTCACCAATTAGATAAAACACAAAGTAAGCAGATTAAAAGGAAATTAAGAGAAACTGATTTGTGGACACTAAGTTAGCTGATAAACCTTGGCCATGGCTGGGCCTGTTTTGCAGATCCATTTTTCCAGCATCATGTTACGGATTTTCAGAAGATCCACATTGTTGATTGTGGCTATTTCCTTAACCACAGTGTGTATGTCTGAGACAGAGACAAAGGATTTGATTAAAAAGACACCACACTGTTGCAGACTTGTTCCCAATCACAGCGTGACAAACAATTCAATCATAAAATGTGAGGCATGACAGTGGAGCCTTAATGAGGAGGAAAAGATTTATATCTGACTGAAACATTTCAGTGCAACAGAAAGCATTACAAAGCACAATGGATAATATGACACACTTTAAGAATGGACCTGGAATCTGAGCTCATAAGAAAACAAAGCTGGTCCATTGTGTAGCTAAGGATATAAGAGCTGTTGTATTTACTGTAACTGTCCAGTTGATAGGGATTGTCTTGTGCTTGTTGCTAGCCCAGCAGCTTCGCATATGACAAGTCAAACATGATCTGTTTTGTGCTTTAAGCTTATAAAATTTATAAAGTCCGCACTGTGCAAGTGTCAAAGTGCTCCTGCTTTCTTTTGCAAGTTTGCCACCCACAAAACAAAATTGGTCTTATAGTGGATTATTTATTTAGTTGAGCTTCTAAAGCTACAGGCTGTGCTCACCAGGATAAGCGTGACCTCCCAAGTCGCTGTAGCACTGCTCCACACTGCTGTGCTCGTACAGGGCCACTATGAGCCTAGCTGGCAGCCCGATCAGTTTCAAATGTTCCGGGCTGTTCAGCTTGCTGGAAATCAAGGTGTTCTCAGTAGCTGAGCGCTGGAACTGTAGCTTCAGCTTGGACAGAAAGGTCTCCCCTCTGACACGCTCTGCCTCCTGCATGGGATCAGAGTGGAGCAGACTAAAACCAGTGAATGTATGAAAAACTGGATAGAGATATGAAACATTTTAAGTTTGATACAGTATATTTCTGCAGGTGAAAACCACAGATACTAACCTCAAGGTTTGGATCTTTTAGCCATGCCTCTCCAAGAGTCAAACAGAACCCAAGTGACTGAGTCTTCTCCAGGCCTGTAGAGAGCAGGCAACAATTCAGTGCATACGTATGTAGCATTCAATGTAGTGCAGTGCAAGTATGCAACCTGCAGGACAGACCTGGTGGCAGCTCCTGGGTGATCTTGTGGGCCGTGGCAGCAGCCCACTGTGGGCTCTGGATGCACTGGATGTATGTCATCATGGTCTTGGCCACCTTGAAAGTCTCCTTATTGTAGCCACGACCCTGAGCCCTTTTCCTCTGCTCTAAGAGCAGAGGTTTCATCTTTTTCTCAAACACATGATTTACTGCTGACATGTATAACTTGTCAAGGCTCACCTGGAAACAGACAGGAAAGTTTAAATAACCTGTTACACTTTATGAATAAACTGATAAATCTATCATATGTGATTATGCAGAAGGTCTCCTCACTGAGTTCAGGAGCTAAACACAGAAAAAGCTCTTACTTTCTCAAGTCTTAACACATCCCATTAATTCCTAATATTGAAATATCTAAAATAAAAATATAAATTTTGTCAACTGACATTTCATAAAGATGTCCTAGATGGCAAACACAGCTATAAGTGTTTAACGTTTCATCTATCACCAACCTGAGAAACTCAGCTAGTCTCAAATACAGCTGGTTAAAAATATAAGAAATGGTGATAGGACCGTAAATGAGTTAATAGTAATTCCTTCCCATTGGATTATGCCTGATATCAACAGGTAACCAGTGCCACACTTACCCCTCTTTTTCCAGGACATTTTCAGTGACATAAGCACATCAGATGGGGTTCATACACTAAACTAACAAGTTCTTCTATTTAGAAGTTGCCTTTAAAACACAAAGTACTGTGCAGTTCAGATGTTTAAGTTCTTGTCCATCACACAGCACCATCAGGGAGTCATCTGATTGGTACTAAATTCGTTCCATGGCATGACAACAAGCCAAAAAAAGGGCCAGACATACAGAACCACCTTCAGAGACCAGAAGGACAAGGAGTACTACAGCCGATGGTCTTGTCCCAACGAAGCCCTGATCTCAACATCACAAACTCTGTCCCCTTTGCCAGTACTGCTATAAATGTCCATGTTTCCTAGATGAATGGGAACCCTGAGTGCTTATCTAATAAAATCAAAGCAATATGTGTTTGCCCACAAGAACACTGAAGAATGAAAATAAGAAAACAACCTCGCCTAACTCACAGACAATTTTCCAGTAATGTTTGCTCTGCATCAGCAGGTGGAAGGGCAGCCTACTCTTGGACAAGGGGTTTGGCAGCAAGCCGTTTTCCAAAAGATACGTGTTCTCCATGTCTGATGGAGGAGAGACTCGCTTGTATGACTTCAGGTGCTGAAGGAGGCCCATTGCCTGTGGGTTAAAAGACATTGATGCAAGTCTGTGGATACTTTTTGAAGACAATGGACTCCTTACTGTTAAATGTGAAAAGGCATATTTTACCTGACTAACAGAAAAGCTGGTCACATTCTCATCTGCAACCTGTATGATCTTCAGCACTACTTCAATCCTCTCATAGTTATAAGGACTGAGCTGTATGATAAAGGCAATTTGCAGGACAGGTGAGGAGCCAAACTTACATTTTAGAAACTCCAAAATAATTTAATTCTACAACAGCTGTGGTGTAGGGACTTGACATCTGTTTGCTCTTTAATGAAATTATATCAGTGATGCAGGTAAAAAATTCAAGTGACCACTCCCCCAGTGCTCAAACCTTGAACAGGGCAGCACAGAGACTGCCGGTGAGCTCACTCGTGCTGTGTAACATCGGGATAACCTGCAGGACTCGTTCCAGTGCGTCTGCATGACACAGAGGCTGCACCTCTCCCTGCCCTGTACCTGGGTCACCTGCGCCGTCCTCCTCCTCCTGGAGCAGGAGCAAGGTGGTAATGTACTGGTTGATCATGTGGTCACAGTCTAGACCAAAGGTGCTGCAAGTGGACATAAAGGGCAACTTTTAGCACAGACATGACTGGATGCACCAGATTAAAGAATCTGACACTGCAGCGTGAGCAGCTGACCCGCAGTACTGAAGGATAATGTCAGGGGTGATCCTCCTGTTCTTCACCAGAACAGGGATCAGGCTACTCTTCATCTCAGGCCGCTGACGGAACACTGGCTGGATCGATATCTGCGGCAGAGCAGGGGTACACATTATATGTCAAGTCATGCAAAAGAGAGAATAACACAAGATGTAAAACATCCATTCTGATCCAGATACCCTGGAACGCTGGACTTTAAGTGCTGCAGTACCTCTAATTTCCCGAGCTTGATGCCCCACTCAGCATCAGTGATGACAGAGAGAAACTTCTCTTGCTCCTCTGCCTCCTCATATAAGCAGCAGAGATCAGCCCCAATCCTGGCAACAGACTGAAATAATCAAGACACAGTCACTGATAAGATTTAGTGAACATAACAAGAATAGAGATATGCACATACACATGTATTTGTCTATAATACAGTATGTTTTCCCCCCAATTACTAAATGTTTGGTCATCAAACATCATTGGTCACAATCACTAAAGTTGGTATGCACAGTTTAAGACCTTTTGTGGGTCCTAAACTACCCTGGAACACTGGACTTTATGTCCTGAAGGATAATAATATAATATGTGAATATAAAATACCTTTTACAATTTACAATTTCAAAAAGTCCAACTAGGTGAGGAAAAACTGTCCCACAAAATTTGTCAACCTAATTTGTTTAAATACACTGATAGCTTTACACTGCATAATAACCGTTTCCCAGTATTTACTCGCTTGGCTGGCTTCTCATTAATTTCCATAATTAAAATAATAAAAGGTTTGACATTAAAGTAAAGAAAAACAGAGATCATACTACCCACCAAGATTTTGTCATAATTTTGCCAGGTGTTGTCAATAACCTTCCACAGTATTTTGAAGACTTCTGCTTTGGAGAGGAGTGTACAGAGTGCAATAGCCAAATCACAATCTACAACCCTCCAGTTGAACACCTACAGGTGTTAGAAACAACAGAGAAACAATTATTTTAAATGCAGAAAAATAAACACTAAAAAGCAGTAAATCTGCTACTACGCTCTCATGCATTGACTGGGCAGACCCACCTTGTTCAGAAGGGCCACAGCCACAGCATTCAGAGAAGATGTAGTTGTCTTTCGGAGCTCACTCAAGCATTTATTGTACATCTTAAGCGCTTGGGCATCATAAAGCTGAGAGACAAACATTACAAACACAATATAATTTACTTAGTCTTACTGGCAAGTAGCTGAAGCTGTAGTAACAATTGCTCTGCTCCAGAAATACATATAGCATCGATAGCACCACTGGATATGTTGCAGTCATACCTGGATGCCTAGCTTTATGTCCATTACGTTAGAGGTGACGTGCTGCAAGCAGCTGCAGTACGAGTTGACCAGCACTCTGAGGGCTAGCTCCAGCTGACTGCACTCCTGTAACATCTGCAACATGTTGGACAGGGGTCCCAGGAGGGGCCGCATGTAGTTTGAACCTGCATTTGGGCCAGGCAAGCCACAAGGTAAATTTTCAAAATTACAACAAGAGAAAAAACTAGAATTACTGCTTTGTGGTTGTATGCCTCCGCCAACTGGTCAAATTCACAGGAATGGGACATACATGAGGATACAGTGACCTCTGACCACCAAAATCTAATCAGTTCATCCTTGAGTACAAGTGGACACTTATCGCTAGTGTGGAGGCATTAAAAAAAAAAAAGGCACATATTTCCTTAAATACCTACCATCTTCAAATGAGCAGTGAGACAGACAGGAACAGTCCAGTGGATAGAGTTTAGTATCTGCAGGAAAAGGAATAAAATAGCACGTCAGCTAAAAAAAAACAGTTGGCTCTGTACACTGCCTGTGGTGATAAAACTGTAAATATGCATTAGATAGATGATAAATTTGAGCATCTTCTTACCCTGAGGAATAGGCAGCAGACAGTTGGTAATTTCATACTGGACGGGAAGCACAGACACTGGGTCCAGAACAATGCAATCTTCATTAAAAACATCATGAAAACTCCACTGAGAATATGGATCTTTTTCTGCTTCCAGGTTCAAATCCTGTGAACACAATGAAAATACTTCATTTAATACTGCAAATGTAACTTTGTAATTAATTAGATGTAATTTTATTAAAGTTTTTCTTGCATAATTATTAATTAGACATATTTATAGGAAATATTTATTTTAAATGATTTATATTACACACAAGGTATTTCAGTGAATTTGTATAAACCCTTGCTTGAAAATTATGCCTAAATCCTCTTAAGAAATTTAACCTGGTAGATTCCTAGTCACTAATTTGCAAGATATGATATCTGATTCACATTTGCAAACAATAAATGCATCAAATAAAACTAGATCAAAATAAATAAAATGAAAACCATAAGGTACTGACCTTGGCTATGAAGCCATAGTTGTCTGATAACTGACACTGATGATAGACGTCCATAGCTGTCCGTGTGCACTTGCACAGCTCCAGACAGTCCAGGAGCAGATCTGTAAAAGTTACTGTCCTTTGGGAATTTGCAATTTACAAATTATTTCGAGCATCAGAGAGCAGCCAGGGTAGCTCAGAGCTCAGACGTCTCACACAAAAATCATCTCAAATGAACAATTTCAGTGTAGATGCTATTTTAGACTAACAAAGTCTTTCACTGTCTGGTGTTCTAAAGGCAGAGTATTCATTTTTCCCCAAAAGAGATCAAACATATCCAATCTAAAAAGTAAGTTATAATGATTCACATAACAGCTATTTTCACCAATATAAAATGTTGTTGGACATCACTGATGTTTATATGCATCCTTTACCTGAGTGGCACACTGTGATGGCCTGGCAGGCCAGATTATGAATGACTGCTGGCAAGTCCATGTCATCAGGGAGCACCATGGGCACATCTGCCTCCAGCATCTGGCATAATGTCTTGGCAGCAGTGAACAGCACCTTCCCTGTGCTGGTGTTATAGTGGTGTTCATACAGCTCACTGAAGACAGATGAAGGAAAATAACAAAATAAACTGTTTCAGTATAAACACACTGATGGGAAAAAAGTGCAAGCCCTATCAGTTTCCCACCCTGGGTTTATACAAAGCATCTACACATGCAAACCTGAGGATCTTGAGTGCCTTGTCCACTTTGCCCACTTTCAAAGCTCGCAGGGACAAGTCAGACCAGAGCTCCTGTTCGGTGCGCTGCAGCTGCCTTCCTAAACGACGCAAGCCAGCTTCTGTGGAGATAGTCTTGGTCTTGCCATCTGGATCATTAGCCACAATGGGAGTCATGGCAGTGTTCCCCTTAGATGAATGGCGGCCACGTGTGTTTTCATAGGCTGTGATGTGATGCTCCTGGATCTGTTTCCTGATGCTTGGATCTTCATAGTTAGATGGGGTGAAGAAAATATCAAAGTCCTCCTGCAGAAACCGACACAAAGGCTGCAGGTTAAAAACTAAATCTAAACATAAACATAAATGTTCTGAAAATGAAGCTCACCTGTAGATGGGCGATCGCCTTGAACATGGCGAGGTTACTCTCACACTCCATGCTTTTAAGAGCATCACCTGCAGAGGACATGAAGCCTGGTATCATTCTTGGATGTTGAGATGCACATTTATAAGATATATTTCCCTAACTTTGACTTTAAGCTGTTTAAACAATCTATAGGTAAATCCCAATTCCCTTATTTTAATTGTTCTTCTGTCCTCGCTCAACCCAGAAGTTGTTCCAGTCTGCCATGAAGAAGGATCTCCCAAAGGTCTTATTTCTGCTCCGAGGGGGGAGGACCAAAGAACGAGGAGGCTGCCTAGAGGAGCTATAACCAAGGATACACAAGTGCATCCTTCAAAGTCTGTTATAGATTGACACGCCCTTTATCAGAAATGAGTTTATGATTGGATGATTCACATGAAGGATTAGATGTCTCATGTCAGTTGCAGTTTGTCCTTGCATCATTTCCTTGCCTCTTATATAGGTGGAACTAAGAAGGAAACATGTGGAGTGAGATCATTTCCTTGCCTCTTATATAGGTGGGACTAAGAAGGAAACATGGATAGTTAGTGGAATTGGGATTCACCATATGTCTGCCAATTTCTTATGCCCCTATACCACGCTACAGCTTTCATGTTTTAGAAGTAAGTGAAGCGAATACATACTTTTTTGGATTATGTGCAGGTATTTCAGAACCTCCACCACCACCTGAGCTATGACCATCTGGTGCTTCTTGTGCTACAAAAGAAAGGCAGAGAGAAAGTTCAGATGTACAAAATTCCAGAATGAACATAATTCTACTTTTTATACTCAGAACTTGAGGTAGTGATTGATTAACATGCACATATTACCTGTTACATTTCATGTAAGGTCTTCTATCAACCACAACTGCATTGTATGTGTCGTATAACTAAATAATCATGGCCTAGTGCATCAGATCAGCTCTTTGTGTGGAAGCAGAGCTGCACTGCCACTCACTGCTCAGAAAGAACAAACTTCTGGTTTTCCAAAAACAGTAATAATGTAAAAATAATTTTAAAATACAACTACATATGATTTTAGTAGTCTTTAAATAACATCCACAACACTGAGCCTTGACAGCATTCTAAACAGGTCATCTTCCCTCTCATCACCTCCTCAGATATGTGGACTTTGTCCTCCAGCTGCAGCCTAGCCCAGGATGTGAGGCGCTCAACCACACGCTCAGCTTCTGAAGAGGACAGCTTCTTCAGGACAGTCATGCATTCCTCAGTCTGAAAGCAGAATGAAAGGCTTTATACCAACATCCCAAGGGTGTATAAAAATACACTACATTTAAATGTGGTGATTTCATATTTCCACATAGATCAGCATACCTTGCCTTGGCCTATAAGCTGGATGAGATACAAGTAATTTATCTGCAAGGTTGGAAGTTTGTATGCCTCAGCTAAAGTCAGGGAGTCGTCTAAAGACATTGGTAAATCTTGCTTCAGGATGTATCTAATCAGCGTCTGGGGGAGATATAGAAGAATCAGAGTTTACAGGCAGGCACAACAGAAGCCATGTGGTACAGAATTAAACATATAAACTTACCATAACTTGAGTGCTGTTGGAGAGGTTGAAATTGCGGATCCCATAGCCCCTGAGAAGTTTCCTTATCTCCATGAGACGGTAGCTCTCCTTTAAAAGCTCTTGTCTGAAGAATAAATCAGGCAGAAGAAAATCTAATAGATGCTGCTAATGTGTTATATTAACAAGAACCATTTCAAGGTGAGGACAACATAAACATACTTTGGCCCATCCATCTCTAGGTACTGCTGAACTAGATTTTCCACCACATTACTCCAGGGCACTACAGCTTTCTGCATGATCTCCAGAACAGCATCCACCATCAACTGGCAGGAAATACAATAATGTGAGATTTCACAACAGCATCTTATTGAGCAGCTTTTCTGCTGCTGTTATGGCTCATTTTCACACAGACACCTGTGCTCATATACCTTAAGCATCTTGTAAACTGTGTGTAAGCAAAAAGGGTGTTACAAAGCTTACATCAGTATCTGTCATGCAACCCAGCACAGCCACTGCTTTGGCTTCCCATTCTGTGAAAAGTGTAGTGGTCTGAGAACTGCACCGCTCCAGCAGATCCTAGTCAAGATCAGGTTGAAAGGAGACATAAAGGAATCATCAGGCTTTAGGAGAATTAAATGCAAGCCTCCAGGGGGCCTGGCTGTGGCAGAGGTTTACCTTGATGTACTGCAGGAGCAGCTCATCCAAAGGAATCTGATGCTCATCAGCATATGGCAGAACGCTGTTTTGCACAGTGGCAGTGATCAGTTCTGGAGCTGGCACGTTGTCCAGCATAAAGAACGCAACACTCCGTACGCTTCCCTTTTAAATTAACAAAAGAGAAAAACAATTAAAATATGAACAATGCAAGAACCACTCAGAAGCACCTGAAAAAATACACAAATTGTTTGATCTAATTTAGTCATCTACTGACACTGTGAGACACATAAGTATTACCTAAGTTTCTGCATAACTCTGAATGTTTTTATTTTGGTCACTTCTTGTACGTTCTGCAAAAAATATGTAACCCTATACAGTTTACTGTAACCTACATAAGATTTTTTGAAGCTCAAGTGCAATTGGAATACATCACAAATAATTAAAGACAAACCTTCTCAAAGACTGAAAGTGAAAGCCTGCAGTTGTATTTACAGTGGAGGTCCAGCAGCTGACGGAGGTTGGAGACCAGGGATTTCAGTTTTTCTACTTCTTCTGCACCATAATTATCACCCTTTAAAAACATCAATAAAAGACACTGTATCTTTCAAGAACTGCATAACGTGATGATAATTAAGCTACATTTTATCTCCATAAATAGATCATCACTGTGAGGACTCAGACACTCATTCATACCCAACAGGGTAAAATGTGGCTAACTTACAGATTTCATCCATGTCCATAAAGAGGGCAGTCCAAGCACTGCCAGGTCTAAGCCATTCTGGGGCCAGTCACTCTGGAAAAAACAATATTACACTCATATCATTGGTTCAACTATAGAGCCTCTGTGCTTGCTATTGTTGTGCTGTTCATCTGACCTGTTGCTTCTAATATTAATTCAGTTTTTACCTTTTTTGTTAGCTCGAGATTCCTTGCCCTCTGCTCCAACCACCTTGCCAAGATTTTCTATGAGCAAATAAAGACAGAATCTTTACTATTAAAAACATGAAAGAGGACAGTATCTTGTGCATGAGAATGTACTGTACCTGCCCTTTTGGGAGTATTCTCCTGACAAAAGGAACAAAAACTGTCCTAAACCAAGGACAGAGGTCTTGGGACGACAGGTCCTCTGGGATGGCACCGAGCACAGCTTCAAGCTTGTTCTCATCGAATTCTGCTGCAATCTGTCCCTGTCACAAAAGCCAGCAGCAAACAACATCACAAACTGACACCAACACTACAGTATTTCTCACACAATGTTTACTTTGTCTGGTCATTTTCAGTCAAGTCATGGTTGATTTTATGTGTTAGTATGAACTGTCAAAATTTCCTTTAATAGTTGACAAAATAATTTAAGGAATTAATGCTGAATAATCTACAATGATCATGAGAAACTTTGTGCATTTATTCTGATGAACGCATGAAGCTGTTCCGATTCAAGCACTTGTTACCTCATATCTGAGCCAAAGGAGCTGTGCACCCTTCAAGTTTCCTTCTCTCAGGTGGGTCAGAATCTCTCCTAAATTGTCGGTGCAGTTCAGAAACTCAATCCAGGCAATGCCACTATGGAGGACAGAGTAATATACTAAAATCACACAGTACAGTACAAAATATACATCCCACACTATAAGACATTTACTGTAAAACACAAAAATCAAGTATTGGCCTCTGAGACTTTGAATTTACTTGAAATCTTCCAGGCTGTGAAGGCTGCAGAATGTTGCTAGCCTGGCCAAGGCCTCCTGGATCTGTAAAGATGAGTATCGTGCAGCAGCATGGTTCAGCATCTTTTCCGCTGTCTCAAAGGTTGGCCATGGAGCCTTGAGGCAGTATTCCACTACATACTGTTCATCCTGGGCAATGCAAAAAATAACCTCTAATTTGTTATGACTAACTCAAATGGTGATAATTCATCAACAATAGTGCAAAAAATAACCTCTAATTTGTTATGGTGATAATTCATCAACAATAAACTGAGATTAGACTAAATACTGTACAAAAACCCATCACTACACTCACCGTGAGTTTCATCAGGTTGGTCTTTGCCTCATCCACGAGTTCAGACCACACATCCTGTCCATAGCCACCCACCGATGCAGAAGCCAGCTGCTCCAGCACAAAGTCGAGCTTCACCTTGTAAACAAGCTGAACAAAATGGGACTATTAGTTGTGTACAGCACCAATTAGAGTGGTAAATTACCACTAGCTGCACTCCCATTCTAAAGTAAAAATACTAGTCTTTTTACTTTAAAATCTTACTTTTATGGTTAAATGCTAAATATATTTTATTCCATTGCATAATAAGGCCAAAAGAGAAAAAGAAAACTGTAGCCTACAACAGTGTCATGCATTACACATGAACACACACTTACTTCTAAATCCAGCTCGAATGTGATGGCAAACTTCTCAGCCTCTTCAAACATGTGTTTGTGAAGTAGTCTGCTAAGTCTGGGAACATTGAAAAATCCAGTAGTCAAATCATACTGACATCCTGTAGACCACAGTTGCACAAATTCATGTTGAAATGTATACAGTACAATTAAAATTAGCCACCGGTTCTCTGGCAGAGCCTCTGTGAAGCATCTGACAACAACAGCAGACACAGGCTCTCCACGACTATTTGACAAAGAAAGAAAGAAAAAAAAAAACATCACTTAACATTTCGCATTCACCTCAACACTCAGGTATAGCTTAGCAGTAAACATACAAACATATCATACCTTTCAGGGTTCTCACAAATGCCCTCGACTATATAAATTGTGTCCTAAAATCAGAGGATAAAACAACTGACTTAACTGTGTTGAATGATTAACACCTAGAAATACCAGATGCAAAATAAAGATAATTTAATGTGTGTTGACACTTTACCATGTTTATTTTTGTCTGAACAAGACAGGAGACTGAGGAGACATCTAGAGAGTAGCAAACTGTCATAGAGGGCAGAAATCGGATTTGCAGTGAACTGATCTGAAAAATGAAATACCAGTACATTGAGTTCAGAACAGGACTTGAGATGATCATCTATTAGAGTTTCATCAGAAGGTACTGCTACCTGGCTGCTGTCCTGCTTTGTCAGTGTGATCATCTTCATGCTGCCCCTGTCTTGGCTGTAATATACAGCTTTATTCATTTAATCAACATCGCTGAAAGGAGATATCACTTTAAATTTACAAATGAAATACTTTATAAAATGCTGATACATACGCAACCATGGAGGCAGAGCCACATTCTGTGGTGAGTTCAAAGTCATGAACAGAAAGATCTGTCCAACAGTGAACCATGACAAGGAAATGCAGGTCCCAAAGACTCAGGGCATCCTGAGACAGAGAGAGGACACAAAGAAACCCACATGTAAAATTTAACAACATGGACGGATATATCAAACAGGTGTACATGACACCACTGAACTCACCTCGGTGTCAAGAATATACAGGAGGTTCTCCACCACCACCATCTTCCTGACACCTTTGAAATACACAAATGTGACACAACTCTCACAATGTATTTGAAATCATTTTAATGTACTTATTTTGCAGCTGTTTCTTTTACCCAGTACTGTGTGTTTTATTGTATTTTTTTCTTGAGAATGTCCAAAATACAGAACCCATACATAAACAAGTATGATACTAAGTTCAGCACTGATGTGCAGACACTGAATATCAAGCAAGAGCTCACCTGGGATTAAGCTGTTGTCAACAGAGTGAGCAAGGGACATCTTGGCCTTATGAGGGTCCATCATCCAGTGAGTCACAACATTTTCTTTCTCCCCCTATGAAGTAATAATGTTGCAATAAATCAAGAAGTACAACTTGCTTCACTGCTTTATATTAGGAGTAATCACCATTTATATAAAGGTTTTATTTACAAAATATATTTGAAGCTTAATTTAAATGGCTTAAAATTTATCTTGAAAACATGTTTTTGCCTACCAGAGAGACTCTTTTGAGAAACAGAGCTGAGTTTTTAAAGAGCGAATCAGCAATAAATAAACACAGCAAATACACTGCTGGTGATTTAATCATTAAGCACTGTAACAATGAGAACGAAACGCAGAGAAATGAGACATGCAACAGCATGGTGTGAATATGGCCTAAAATAAAATGAGCTGTAAATATGTGAAGTAACAGGGTCCATAAGTAGAGTTAATTTGTCATTTAAATGGGTTATCATTCACATCACTAATGTGTCATTACTACAGCTTGCAAATAAAACTGTTAGTGAGCATTTAGACTGAGTTTGAAAGATCTGAGGGGTCTGAGAGGGCTACTTTTTAATAACTTTTACACTCAGTCTGAATGCCTGCTTATAATTTCTCTTACAGGTACTGACCCCAATCATCAAGTGCATTTCATGGCCCAGACTGAACATCACTGCAGTACTGCAGCCCTCATCATGGTGATCCTTGGTGGAGCAGAAGTCTATCTTGATGAGAGACTGGAGCTAAATTAAGGAAAAGTGTGATTATGCTGCAGTTGCTCAAAACCTTTTTGCTTGCTATACCATGAAAAGAAGATTGCCTTAACTTGCCTCTTTCAAAGCTCCCACATCGTCAATTTTCTTAATGGCTGGTATGGCAACAGGAAAAGGAACGTTTAACTTTGTCAAAAAGTAATTCCAACAAAACCTGTTGTACATGATATTTGGATACCTGTCTCAATCTTTGCCAAAGCGAGGTTTGTAATGTGGAAAAAACCATCCTTTATGAGAAGGAACACATGGTACATCCCTGTCAACAAGAAACATTCAGAATTCAGCCATTCTACACATTTGTTGGTCATTAACAGATTCTTCTCACAATCATATAGAAATGTTACCTAGGGACGCCTTGTCCTCTTCTAGGATGAGATAGCGATATGTTTTCTTATCTCCACTGGATGAATTCTCTACCAAAGCCTACAAGCCCAGAAATTATTCAAAATTTTAATCAGGATTACTACAACTGCGGCATCATCTAAAGCTGAGTATTAATCCTCAAGTGACGTAGGTGAAATCAAACAGGTTACAATATAATAATGTAAGGTCAGAGACAGAGCAGTCATATTTAAAGTAACCCAACTCCAGTAGATATAAAAAAACACACTCATACTCTGGTGAGAAGGATTCTCTTGTGTGGAACATAGATCAAATGAAGGTTTCCATTTCTTTCGCAGACTACCAAAAACTTTCCTTCCATACACACATCAATGGCATCCACATCAGTTTCTGAAAAACAAATGTTGGTATTAATGTAGAGAAATGACTGCGACAGGTCAAACCTGCTGGCAATACCTGATGAAGTCTGACATGCAAGTGAATCTTTACACTATCTTCAAACTGATTTTGTTTGAAGATTGACTCTACAGTCAGCTTTAACACATAGAAGCAGTGGGCATCAGTCACCATTAAATTCTTGGATCTGACGATTTGTTAAGGCACAGCAACACAGTACAACAGCATGGAGATATAAGGGGCACATTGAATGGAGTTTAATACCAAAGTGAAGAAGCAGCAGGATGGTCTGATAATTCTGGTCAAAGAGGATAACAGTCTTGTCAGCAACAACAATGCTCCAGTTTGAACCACTGGAGGAGGAGAGATGGGGATCCGTCCTCACCTGGAAGAACCAGCAGTTCCACACAATCACTGATCAGTGCTAACATTAATTTAAATGCAGAAGTGGAAAGAGCAATATTCTTTCACTACAGTTCCTGCATATGTGTGTGTACCATTGTAAATACACATGGAACAACATTTTCGAGTTTGTGTAAGTTAATGTTATTGCAAATATTTACATTCATTACCTCACTGGCATTGGAGATTTTGACCAGTGTATCCACCTGATACAGGCCGCTACCATATTCCTCGCTTGGCCCACTGCCTAAACGGAGAGTGCTTGAATCCTCGTTGGTCAGAAGTTCAGCGTCGCTCCACATTGCCATTTCGTGGAGCTACATGTTGCATGGAGAAAATTTGAGCTTTTATTTTGATGTGAAAATGTTTCAGTGAATCGTTTACTTGAAATGCGATACATTAGCTAAAAAACCTAACGTTATTCAGTTGCGCTTTAGTTAACATTATCCTAATGTTATAATGACGCTAATGGTAACAGTTTAAAAACAACAAAAACTACGATAAACTATTAATATCTACGAACAATGGCAGGTTGCAAATAAGTAGACACAGCTGATAATAACTCACCACTCTAGTGAAATAACGTTAACCAGAGAGTTATAACCCACAGAGTCCACATATCGTAACCCAACACTACTAGCTTGAATTTGGCGGGTTGCTCAAAGCTAACAAAGTAAATATAGCGACATTTCCTGAGTTTTGCCTTACAGATTGAACCTCCCTCTTGGGCTATGTATGAATTCTGCCTCCTTTGTAAGTATGGCCAGAAGTAAACCACAGACAACACATGACCTTTAATGTTTTACTCCTGTAATCTGAATCTGACCTATTAAATTGATGGGGGTTGTTTCTGTTCTACATGGCCCGAGAGTAAGTGCTACCTGACAGGCCTAATTCAGGGGGTAAAATTGTGTATATAGCCATACCGAGGGGCGGGGCATTGCAGGATTGTCTGGAGAGTCTTGTGGTGTTGCCAGGTTGGATACCAGTCAGTCTACTGTCTACATTTACGGCAGCTTAAGTTTTAGGACGATTTTGCTTTTTTTTCACCAGTAATTATTTCTTTTCAAAATAATAAATCAATAATAATAGATATAAGGACGCAGGGTTTTATTATAATTCTACATATTTGCTGTACCCCTGCTTCTTGGTTGGCTGCTTCGATTTGGTTTAACAACTGCAAATTCCCTGAATCTCGGAGATTTACGAAGTAAAACCTGGCACCCCAGATCGAATTGCTGGGCTTGAAAACGACTGTTAGAAGCTAGCTACCTCACCGTGGTCGTTTTCACGAGGAACAAACAACTGCGTTAAATATATATAGTCTGCTACGGAATTATGTCAGTAAGTACTATTGCATGAATATAATCAAGACATGCACGAATGTACCAACATATAAATAACATTGCTATAAGTGTACAATTCTATTCAAAATATTTTTCTTAAAGATGGCGGCTAGCGCTAGCTAGCTTAGCAACCTAGCTATATAATTGTTCCCTGATGTAAGTATGAACAACGAACCAGGGATGTAGCTAATCGAGATAGCATGTTAGCTAACCGACAAATAACCGGGGTAAGCCTTTCTAAGAAATCATGACTCATTTTAATGCACTGGATGGCGCATTTCGAATTAATGTAGCTAAGAAAATGACCACAAATAAACACCAGGCGAAGCTATATAACACAGCAATGACCTGTGAGATAATATTAGCAAATGTTAGACATTATTTATTTTAACCTAAACTGGAGCTAAGTTAGTGCAACCAACACCACATTTCATCATAGCCACTGGTCCATTATTAACCAAATTCTACCAAATCTTTACCATGCAGAAGGAACTCTGTTGATTAAACAAGTATTAAAGAACGTACCGTGAATACTTTGGATATAGGATGTTGAGTGAATTGAAAAGTGCTGAGCATCACAAGGCTGTGCCAGAAGCAACAAAACCTGAATGTGTAATATGAAAAGTCAGCCATTTATTCATAAAGAGAATATGCAAACATATTAAGATGGTCTGTATAGAACTACAGCCCATCCTTTCTCAAACCAAGTTTATTTTTGTGTGAACCTCGTTTGCATCAAGTATTTTTGCAAAGTGACATAGGTAATAAGCCTAGGCTTGCTAAGAAATTCATTTAATGACATTAAAGTGCGTGTTCTAAATTGTACTGTTAAACAAAATTTGTTATTTAAAAGTTGTCCACTACATTGGTGCTTTAATATCATTGTAAATCTCAGTTATATTTGAAGATTTTCTTAGGGGCTATAAATATAAAGAAATAGTCCGCACTGCCTTTGGAAACATATCTTTACAACTACAACATCTCTATTTGAGCATACTGCAGTGCACTAAGTGGCTACTGATGGTTTTTCTCATATCCATTTGTTTCAGACAAGTGACACAGACTCTGTTGACTTGATGAGAACAGGCTCTCCAGTTCATCACAGAAAAAAACACAGCATGGAGTCATCCAGAAGCTCCAAACACCATCATTCACGGTCAAGGTCACGTTCCAGGGATCGAAAACGTTAGTATTCAGCAACAGTACTCAGGCACTGCTGAAATGCTGGAAGAATTAAGGCCACATTATGAAATGTGTTCTCAGTCATGAGATTTATCACTTGAAAGTTTGGGCAGAAGATAGTCACCCACTGATTTCACCATGTAAATCAGATTATACTAATATTGGTGAGGCGGCTGAGGTCCCTTGGTTAACTTTTTTTTCCCCATTAACATGTTACAGTATGATAACATATTACTACAATTACAGGGCAAAGTGCACACTAAAAGTCTAGGTTTATTTTTCGCACAGGAAAGACTTCAATTCTTAACAGAAATTACTTTAGAATCTGAGATATAAATTCATAAAATACTATATACGGTAGCTTTACTGTGTGTTTGTCTGGATGTGCTCTCTCCAACCTTTTTTCTTATGAGTTTGCTGAAAAGGTCATTTTAACAAATGATTATTGTTCAGCACTGTGCTTTCTGTTGTTTTCAGGTGACAGAAAATACAGGCGGAGTCGCAGTAGGAGCAAAGAGGTAATTAATAAATTAATTTCTATGATTAGAAACACATATGATGTGATTTTTGAAGGCCTTAAGTTATAGTGCTTGTTAGTTTTAGGTTGAGGTGAGTATGTTTTATTAGGTTTAATATGTTACAATAACCAAATGTTAAGAACAAAAGAAATAGATGGAGATGGGTTTTACTCACATGGGAAGGGTCCTTTTTTACCCTCCCTATGCTGACATGTCTCAAAGGAAGCTTTCATCCTTGGATATCTGTCATTATTTATAACCATATTAAATGGTTGCAGAGTAGATTTTTTTCCTTTATTTTTTTGTTAAATCCTGTGTGTAGATCACATGATAACATTTCTACAATAAATCATACTCAGCGTGCTAATGCACGAAGAGACTGAACAGAAGACCCTGCTGACATAGCAAAATAATATGTCTACTACTGGGACAGGTAACTATCTGCCATTCAAACTCCTATTTGTCTCATTCTCTTGGTAGAAAAATTGGGATTAACTCTTGCATCTTTTGCAGCTAGGGATGGGCATAATTAATCTAATTTATCTTTGAATTGATCGATATGGAATCTCATAGCCTATGTAATTATGCGGCTTTGCCTGTCAGACTAATTTGTCTTTATAAACTGTAATGACTACTGTCCAAACTACGATCACATGAGATAAACATGGTGTGGCTCTGCTTTAAGATAATTTGGCACACAGCATATCCAAATTTAACTTGAAAAAACACATTGTTGAAATTTGTTTTTATTTTAGAAAGTATATTCATGGTTTTTTACATTAATCTACCATTGTCTGTTGTATTGATTCTGTAAGTAGAGACGCTGTAAAAATTATGTTGGATGCCCATCCCTACTTCCACCTTTCAGTGGGTTCAAGTTCAAAGCCATTAGGTAACACTGTTTCTGACCTTTTTCCCTCAGAACCAGATGTTACGGTTTGCATGCACACTGTTCAAGATGTCTGGTACCAAACATTCTAGTTTGATGAATTCTTCCAGTTATGTTGATCTTAGTACAGTCAAATTTTTCCATAGCACAGAAACGCCCACACTTTCACTCGTGCTGAGAATGACATTCTGTGTATGTTATGAAAGTGGATTTGACACCATAAGGTTTTTTCAACTTGTCAAAATTGATTACATACCTTCTGCTGTAAGCCGTTGTACTAACTCTTTTTGTTGCACTATTTTCCTGAAAGAGACAACTTCTTCTTAAAACAGGCACGAAAGAGGGACTCTGAGAAGCCATCAAAATCGCATAGAAAAACAGATGAGCAGCAAGAGCAGGAGAGGCTTTCAGCAGAGAATGGAGAAGAGCGATCCAGACGCAAAGACAGGAGACCCTCCAAGGGACGGAGCTTGTCCAGGTCACACTCACGAGAGAGGTTAGTCAGTATACTTCTTAAAGAAATATATTGAGCACATCTACCTTGTTTATGGCAGTTGAGAAATGTTATCAAGGTTCTGGCATAGGTTCTGGGCTTGATGTTGCTTTGGTTAGGAAATGATTCTTGTTTGGATAAGTAATGCATGAGGAAAACCTTGCAAATAAATTGATAATTAATATTGTAGAACTTCTGGTCTCACTACACACCACTCAACACTTTTAATATGCAGTAGATCACCTAAACCTTATTCAAGGATAAAATATGCAGTAGATCACCTAAACCTTATTCAAGGATAAAATAAACATTTTGATTCATATTTGTAATATCTTTGATTCATATTGATGGATCTTGTTACTTTCAGGAGGCATCATAGCAGAAGTCGGGACAAACGGCGATCGCGATCACGCAGCCGGGACAGGAAGAAGAAGGCTAGGTCTCGCTCAGGTTCAAGGGGAAAACAACGTCATCACAGCAAGAGTCGCAGTAAGAGCAGGTGGGCTTAGTTAAAATAAGAGCGTTTCTTGTGGTGATGAAGTGTTTCGAACGTTTGTCTTCCATGTTTGCCGTTATACATGTTACTAACAGTATGTTCATTGAATTATTTTGGTTGTTTCACAAGGGAGCGAAAGAAAAGGAGTGAGAAAGTGCGCAGAAAGAGTCGAAGCAGGTCTGTTACTCCACTTACCTTCCGGGGCCGAAACACAGCTATGGATGCACAAGAGGCCCTGGCCAGAAGGCAAGGCAACAGCTTATAGGGCACTTACACTATAGATGGCTGTTCTCTGATCTGGCTGATTCTGGACAGTGTTAGTAGTTCTTATTGCATCTGAGTAATTGTGGCTACAAAGCTTTTGTTGTTATTCTGACAGTCCTAATCAAGTTTTAGACATTAATATACAGTAGGTGGAAGCCAAGCAGATATTATGGAATCAAACAAAAAGCATGTGTCTAAGGTTCACCGTCAGCCCTAACAATCCATCCAGTCAGTACATTAATTCTTGAAGTTATTCAGATGAACGTTTCAGACCACTGGTTTTGGCTGTAATTCAGACTTCTCATCTATGTTGCACTTGTCAGATGGCATTGTTGTTCATAATTGGACATGGATTTGGTGGGAAACAAAGGAAAAATGTTGTTGTGGTTTACTGGTAGTCTAGGTGCCTAAGACACTGGCCATGTAATTTTACCATCCACAGTTTCAGTCTGGCCAAAGTCTCTGTTGCATGTTGCCCCCTCCTCTCTCTCCTGTCACTCCCATCATTTATTGATTTTCAATTTGTTATCATCCCTTGTTAATTAAGGGAAAATGCTCAAATCTTATTTCAATTAGGGTTGGTCAGTAATATGTTACTTTTGTATTCAGGGGTATTTAAAATAGGAACAGTATTCTTTTAATAACATTCATGAAAAAAAATTCTTCTGTGTAATCCGTGCTGTTCTATAACAAATGCCTGAAGAGTGTGTGTTGATGTACAGTAGCAGCAGCACCACTGCCTGTGTTTGAAGATGCTATAAAAGTAATGACAGAACTCCTGTAAATGATGTAACCCTAATTTATCAAATAAAGAACCTTCCAAAAAAAAAAAAAAAACCTCACAAATTAGATGCTCTCATACTGGTGCGACACATGACAACCTCCTATAGAGAATGTGAAGTCGATGTGACGCCATGTTGAATGATGGATAACTGCGCCAGTTGGAATGACCACGCTCATTATGTGTCATGCATAGATTCATATGTTAATTTAAAAAAATAAATACTATCCCATACAGCTACATACAGTAGCGGATACTTCAACTACATCCAAACATCCACTTTGGTGTTGAGTCTGAGCATAGAGAGGACAGAAACGGATTCATCTGCAGCGTCTGTGTTCTCCGCCTACAGCCGATAGCTAGAGTTAGCTCCCGAACCTAGAGCTGAGATTAGGGTGCGGAGTCATTTTTCAGTCTGTCCCTCTTGTCGATGGTATCTCTAGGTCTGCTACGAGTTAGCTACAGTCAGCTAGGGTTATAAATTCTGATTTACCGCAGTAAATGTTTAGATATCACATTAAAGTAAAATATAAACGATTTGAGCAGCTATTTAGCCAAACAAAACAAGAATGTATGCAGGTAAATACAGCACCTCCCTACAAAATTATATGTAGCGATAAAAACAGCGCCAGTAGGCAGAATGGGGTATAATTTGGACGAAGGTTTAAAGGTGTCAGAAACTGGATACCACCTAACCCTAATTTCAGTGTGATTGGCCATGTAAAGTTGATGGCTTTAACATATTATGTTATTTTATTTTTAGTTATAGGTTGCTGAATTTCACACATTATTACTTCTAGGTACATTGGTGTTTTTTTCAATCAGTTGAGTAAAATGATCTTCACTCCTTTTCTTTCCAGACTGGAGAGAGCCAAAAAACTACAGGAGCAGAAGGAGAAGGAATTGTTGGAGAAACAACAGCAGCAGCAGCAGGAGATAGCTGCAGGTGAGAAATTCTTATAGTGTCTGGTTTTAGAACTATGATCATTTGAGTGAGGAATCATTTATTTATGCTAGTCTGTTTATTTCATTTCCAGTGGCTGGGCCCGCCCACCGCCCAGCCGCTGCTTCAAACCCTGCCCTCAATGTGGCAGCCCTCCTGGCCTCTGGAACTCAGGTCACACCTCAGATTGCCATGGCGGCACAGATGGCAGCCCTTCAAGCAAAGACACTGGCAGAGACTGGTATTGCAGTGCCCAGTTACTATAACCCATCTGCTGTAAACCCCATGAAGTTTGCAGAGCAGGAGAAAAAGAGAAAAATGCTATGGCAGGGAAAGAAGGACGGGGTAAGATTTGATTCTGCTGTTATTTCTTATTTATCCCCGGTGCTGTGCAGGCCTAGCTTTTTATCACTTTGTCTAAATGGGTTCCTAAAATGCCTATCCTAGAGAGCTATATTTTGATGTATAATATTTGTGTATATTTATTATGACAAAATGCTCATCATGTATGTTTGTAACTTTTAAGGACAAGTCACAGACAGCTGAGCTGTGGGAGAAGCTGAACTTTGGAAATAAGGGCCAAAATCTTAAATTTCGCAAACTAATGGGTATTAAAGTAAGTATAACTATATTAGTTACTTTACTCAGAGATGCAGTATGTTAGATTTATTGAACACCTAGCGGTGAGATTGCAGATTGCAACGTTCAGCAGAGCTCTCATATGTTGTTTTGAACAGCCCTCGCAAACATCTCACAGCTATTACTGTAAATATAGGACAAATGGCGAACTCTGAAAACAAGTGTAGCTGACTTGACCAACCAAAAGCTAACCGTGGCTCACTTGACTGCAATGGGCTACCGAGCACAGGCCATGCTCTAGCTAAAGCTGTCAAACAGAAACCTGCATTTAGGTTAACTTTACTTGTTAGGCTAAACTGTCTGTTTTCTGCTGGACTGGTAATGTTGGCTTCATACTGGAAACATTTGTCCCTCAAGGATATCTGTGAAAATCCAAACCAGTGTTTATCCTTGTCTTCTGCTGTCTCCTTTCTTTTTGTCTTTGCTTCTTTGATGATGGGGATTCACACTGTCTTCCTTTTTCTTGTGTTAAAGTATAACTGTGATCCTTCAATTCTTCAAATTGTAGTTAAACTCACAACAATGTTTCCTCTTGTTTCGAACAATACTACTTTTTCATCTTCCACGCTGCTACTTCAACATAAAGACATGAAATTCACACTTTAGAGCCAGTGTGTGGTTTGTCTGTTCTGAGCTACTGTATAAAAACATGGTGGCCTCCATGATCGAGGATCTGCTCCTATCTAGATATATAAGGCTCATTCCTAACTAAAGAAAATGCAACTGTTCTCATTTTCTGGTGATTACACATTAACATAATTAAAGCCCATTTCTGCTAAAAAAAAAAAAAAAAAAAAATAGAAAAATCCTTCTGAATCTTAGACACTGCTCCTTTAACCAAAGTGAGTTTGTTTGTTCAGTTAAATCTTCAGTCTTAACTATTAGCTTTTCAACCTATAACTTCTCAGTGTTAAGTTGAATTTGCTGTGTTTACAGGGAGATGATGATGCTGAAGCTTCCAAACCACTTAATGATGAAGGCATAAAGACTCTTCAGAAGCAGGAGGAGATGTTTAGGAACCTCGACGTTCAGTATGAGATGGCTCGCTCTCAGACGCACACCCAGAGGGGAATGGGCCTTGGCTTCTCTTCCTCATTCTCACGTGGAATGGATTCTATCTAGTGCCAAACCTTGACTGTCACTTTCACTCATCTGAACATACAGGACTGTCGGTTCATTGCTAGCCCTCAAGCTTGCATGGATGTTGCTCTGAATCTGTAATTTATCTATAGATAATCATCTCACATATTGGAGTGTTGTAATGTAAATAATGAAATGCTGAGTTTGTCTCAGTGTTTATTAATCTGTACATCTTTGGAAAAGGAGGCACCAGTGACTGGATGATGCTGGTTACAATTAGGTATTTGTTTTGAAATATTATGGTAGCTTTTTTAAACAAAACTAAAATATATTGATATGTGATTGAGCATAAACTGAATATAAAGTGCTTCAAGTAAACACTTATCACATCCATTTAGCAAAAGGCATTTGAAGTTAGTGTAGCATTATCAGAATCCCTTAGTTTAATTTCTCCTGACTGGAAAAAAACAACTGTGGAGTGTAATACATATTGTCTTCAGGATTGCCATAGATAGAGATGGATGTCGGGAGTAATCACATTTCAGATGTTCTTCAAATAAATTAGTTTTGTGTTGAATATTCATACATCATTGTATGTAATTTTTTATTTTATGCGATATGTGCGCAGGTCACAATATTTTGGTTCAAATACAGTTTTGTGAGGGCTGGGCATTAAAGATTAGAATATCAAAATAACTGACGGATTATTTTGCAAAACTGTACTGAAATTTGTTGTCAAGTTCAGTGAGCCTTTATTGTTAAACAGTCCATCCTACAAAGTGAAATATCATATACATTGTCACTGTGGGTTCATCATATTGAATTGTCACCCAGGCCTAGTTGTTAAAAAACCTGATAAATAGTTTGTAAAGCACAAAATAGACTGTCCAAAAGCTGAAAGAACTGCATATACAAAATACACAATTATTACAATACTAGAAGTTGTTGCATTAAATTGCAGGTCTCTTTCTGTTGATACTGAAATCCACTCTCATTTACATATAAGACTGGAGTAAAGCACATGAGCCACACCCGTAATTAGGTTGTGGTTGGCAAACTCTAGGATAAGGAGCAGGATTGGGTATTCACTGTGTCTCTTTTCCTGAGTGGACTCCTCACTTAAACCCATCCAGTGAAGCAGCAGTGTTTGCATAGCTTCTGGGAACAGCTCTGTGGCTAATTCCTCCGCAGGCGGCAAGTTGCTTATTTGCTCAATATGTTGAACTTTAAAGCTCTCCACTCTTTGGCTGATGCTGCTGTTTGCTGCGTGAAATTGCTGGCCAAGCCAGCGTCCTATGC